TCTTCATTTGTTGCATGATAGCCTTTTCCCAAGAAAGCTTCTAGGGAGTGAGTATTCCTGTGGTTTGCACATATTTAATTTTTGAGCCTTTATTATTTTCTAATTAAGTTCATGAATCATGTGGGCTCAATGGAAATATAGTATAAAGGCCTCAACTAGTATCCCCCCTCCATCGGGGGTCTTTGAAAAGGGGCAGTATCTTTAATGTGATGCCCTCATCTAACTAAAGGGACAGGAGGAAAAGTAGAAAACAAGGGCCTGCAGAAGCAGTTCCAGAATAAGAATGCCAACACTGTAAGGACCAGGCCTCCTCCTTCATCACTGGAGATAATTCAGAAAAATTTGATTTAAAGCATGATAAAATACCCATCTTATCCCACAAAAGGCTGTAAGATAATGCCTTGTCCAGGGCAGATGTCCAGTAGAGGGGAGTTAAACAAATCAGCCTCACACTAAAAACGTCTCTGAAAGTCTGCTGTCAGTTCCCCTTGGTGTGCTATGGTGCCACTCTTGGGTCCTACGCTTATGTTTGTGCAAAGAGATTTTTGCTCAGATAAATCATGTTCAGGCTTTTAGGTAGCCATCCAAGCTCCCCATGGGGTCTCAGTGTTCTGCCTTTAGCCAGCCAAACGGTAGATTTGGGAGAGAAAGTGTTCCAGTGGTCAGTTTTAGGAGGGAGCAGAAGTGAGCTAGGCAAGGCTGTGCTTCTGGCAGGAGCGCAAGGAGAGGAGTAGCACGTGGGGTGTGGTGTCCTCAGTGGGCAGCCGGCATCGGCTCAGAATGCCATTCTCCTGACATCAGACTTCAATCTTTTTACTTCACATGCTGGGTCTTCTGGTTGCACATCATACGTGCACCTGGCAGTTCATCCTGATCTGGGAAGTGAGCATAATCACAGTTCCAGAGCTTCTCTTCCTGGGACAGATGAGATATTAACATAAAGCGTGAACGATCTAGGCTTGGCTGACCCTCTCAGAGCAAAAGAAATCGGGTTTTTTTTCCCCCTTTTGAACTCCCTGATTACATTTTTTGTCCTGCCTGCTTGGTAGAGCTTGTTAGTTTCCACACCTTACTCTAGCATCTTTAGAGGATTGATTTATTGATTATTTAGTGTGTGATACATGCATATGTGCCTACATGTTCATGTGGAGGCTAGAAGTTGTCATCAGGTGTGGTCTTCTACAGCTCTCCATCTTCTTTTTTGAGACAGGGTCTCTCACTGAACCTGGAGCTTGCCACTTGGCCATGCGGCCGTGCAGCAGGAGTCTCCTAATTTCATCCCATCTAGTGCTGCAATTGTAGGTGCATTCCTGATGGATGGATATTGAGAATCCAAACTCATGTCCTCATACTTGTGCACCAAGCACTTTACTGATAGAGTCGTCTCTCCAGCGTGTCCCTCCCCCCATTTTTATTTTTATGCTGTGATCCCAGATAGGAGAAAAGAAAATGGGGAAGAAGAGAAAATGACTCATGAGTGTACTTTCAAGGAACTAAACGTAGATGGACAGTCCATGCTTTGTTTCACATCTGTCCTTGACGATCCTGATTGGAGCAGTGACTTTCACCTTTGCTCAAGGAAGCTCTGTGATGTCAATCAAGTAGTCCCATATTATCCAGCATAAGTAAAATTGTTCCGTGATGAAATTCAAAAAAACAGTTGCATCTGGTAACACTCCTAAAGTAAAAGAATGTTGCCCCTGGGCTGCAGTTTTACAACTCTTACTCTGGCTGTGGTAAGAAAGGAGGAAGTGGGCTGGAGTGATGGCTTAACAGTTAAAAGCACTTGTTCTTCCAGAGAACCTGATTGTGGTTCCCAGCACCCATGTCAGGTGGCTCATAACTGCCTGTAACTCCAGCTCCTGGTGATCTAATGCCCTTTTCTGGGCTCTTTGGAAACCTGCACACACGTCACACACACACACACACACACACACACACACACACACACACACACACAGAGAGAGAGAGAGAGAGAAATAAATCTATTTTTAAAAGAAAGGAGAAAGGTATTCTTCAACTTGACTGTTTAAGGGTGTCTTAAAATTCCTGCATTGACTCCTGTCTGCTACTGTAGATTGTGAAGCCTGGTTGATTGTAGTTCTCAAATGCTTACCACAGCAATGGCTGTTGACCCTAGATATTCTCTTTGCGCTTTCTTGGGAATCTCTTCTCTCTTCGTACAAATTCAGTGATGCCGTGTTCTCAGTAGAAGAGGGATGGATGTGTGAATGTGTAATTCTAAGAGGTAACTACTTCTAAATGGTGAGGTGTGTCTAATTCTTTATTGGTCACATGGCTAGCCTGGGAAATTCAGTAACAAGGAAACCTTAATAATCCATTTTTCAGCATCTTTCTAGTAAGATTTCTCTAGGAAATGACTGTCATAATATGTATATTTCATGAAAGATACCAACTTTAAAATGTGTTCAAACTTGGTTATTATAATAAAATGTAATTAAGAGTTTTTAAGGTTTCTGCAATTAAAAAATAAGTAATTAAGTAACCCCAAACCCTGTAGCATTCCCCAGTGGTTCATAATCTACCACCTTTCCTGCTCAGAGAGCTGTTTGGATTCCACCACTGCCCCCTACCCTATATAGAGAGAGTAAGAAATAACCAGGGATCACTTCACTCACAGGTAAGTTTGCAACTCCATCCTCTTGTGGAGTTTGCAAGATGGTTGCTTCCCCTCCAGCTTTTCCTCGTCTGAAGCAGGGCAGCATACAGTATGTGCTCCTTTGCCAATCCCATTGCCAGCTGTGGCCTTGTTCTCACACTGGGAAGGCCTTGTGGTCTATTTTCCAAGGTTATACGTTTTCATCTTTTCTGAGCCCTTAAAGTCTCTAATGGTGTCTCCTGTTGTTTGCCACTAAAATTTAAGAACATCTAATAAATTAAGGATGGTTCTGCATTGCTTCTTATCTGACCAGCATCTGTGGGTGGCAGCTGCCAACAAGGAGCTCAAGTGTCTGTGTCACTCCTGAATACCCACAGGCTGACACATTCTCTTCTGATGAAAGGTACCTTCAAATATGCATGCCATTTTCAATATACATTTTATATGCTTAAACACTTCCTGTAAGAGAATCGCTCGACCTAATAAAATGACTTGGCTGGGGCTTTTAAAGAGCTGGATATAAATTTCGTGAAAAATTGCATAGCTGGCATAAATACTTCACTCTGAGCTTTCCTGAGCACTTTCAGAATGCTGCTAGCCACATTTGTGACCATGATGAAATCTGAGCTTGTGCCCAAGGAAGGGTATGGGGGAAAGTGGACAGGCAAACAAGGTCACCCACCCTCCGTACTAAAGAATGATTTTACCGATTATGCTTTCATTGAGGGTAAAAGAAAGTTTAGTTCCTCCAGCTTGTATCTGACAAATCACCCTCATCTTAATGATATGTGTACATACCGCATATAAAACTCTCTATGTCTGGGGGCTGGAGAGATGGCTCAGCGGTTAAGAAGACTGGCTGTTCTTGCAGAAGCCCAGGCTCGAATCCCAACACCCACATGGCAGCCTAACAGCTGTCCGTAACTCCAGTTCCAGGGGATCCGACAGCCTCTTCTGTTTTCTGTGGGCATTGCGCAGCACGGGTGCACTTACTTACATGCAGGCATAACACTCATACACATAAAATAAAAATAATAAATAAAATATTAAAAAAAACCTCTCCGTGCCTGAATTCTGAAATATGCTGAGCATCATGCTCAAACAGCCCCTATTATGTCCTCCAGAGAGACAGTGTATTTGTAGAGACAATAAGTCAACAAAAAATCAAAGCATTGCCAGTCTTTTGTATATTAATGGCCTGTTTTATTCTCCTAATATGATGCAAGGTACTTAAAAAAATCTTGAAAATGACACTTGGAGTGAAGTATTTATTTGTATTGCTTTAAAGCCATTCATGGTAGAGGAATGTTAGCCTGCCTGCGTGGAGGAGGTGATGGTGGTGGTGGTGGCATCTCACTGGTGCTTGGTGGTGGGTGATGGTGGTGAAGGTGAAAGTGGTAAGTGTTAAACCTGAGACACACGGTGTCAGATGCTGGAGCCCTTCAAGGTCAGGGTCTGCCTCTCCCCTTAGACACATTCCTTTTCTTTTATACATCACTGAAGCTCATGAACAGAAGAAACAATTTCCCATTTTTCCTAAGTTTTCCATTTGGAATTTTATTCCACAGCTTTTAATTTTACAATTGTATAATGAGATCTTAATGGCAGGCTTTACAGAAGCCATGAGCTGTCGTTAATTGATTAGAATTTTCTGTGCCAGTATCTTTTTTTGTCACTCTGCTTGTCTAATAGATCAGAAAATAGAGCAGTTAGCAGAGGTGTCACTGAGGAGATGGAGGGTTCTCCATGCTAACTCCACAGTACTGTCTGAGGTCTTACGAGGTTAGATTGGTTAGATTTTTCTCCTTCTACTTCCTTTGCACCCCTATCCTTAAAATCACTGGCTTACTAAAGCTGAAAAAAAATGTGATCATCCCTGCCTTATTTGAAAGGGAGTCTCATGGAGCCCAGGCTGGCCTCAAACTCACTGTGTAACTAAAGATTAACAATGAACTTCTGATGTTTCTGTCCCTACTTTCTGAGTGCAGGATTGCACGCATGAATCACCATGTCTAATTTATGGGATGCTGGGGATCAAATCCAGGACCTTGTGATTGTTAGGCAAGCACTCTACCAACTGAGCTATATCCCAGCCCTCCTGACGTTATATCTGTGCTTTTGAGTCAAATTCCTTTCTGTCATAATTACTTCTGTCTGTCCATTTGCAGAAACATATGTTCGGGTACTGTAAATCATTCAGAAGGAGAAACTGTCCTCTGCATCTTGTCCAATGGCTCATACACACCCACAACCACCACAGCTGGCCCACAGCAGTGGTTTATTTGGGGACTCATATAAGAAGCTACATCCCACCACTGACAATGTCAGCTTGGGGCGAGTTCTCATGTAATGTGGCCACGGCTCTTGTCTCCTTGTCCAGACTGCTCGCTCGAAGCTCAGCCCAAATATGTTAGAGGTGGGAAGCGGTATGGACGAAGATCTTTACCTGAGTTTCAAGAGTCGGTGGAGGAGTTCACAGAGGTGACAGTGCTCGAGCCATTAGATGAAGAAGCGAGACCATCACACATCCCAACTGGTGACTGCACTGAGGTAAGCAGATGGACAGGTGCAGTCTTCGGGATTCTGAGCATGGATACTCTGTGGCATGGACACAGAGGTTAAGGAGTCCATGGTGCAACATGGACTTTGCTCAGTTTCTGGCCCATTGCTAATCTTACCCCCCTGAACCTCTTGGACATACATGCTAAAGTTCCTATTTGAATATCTTACTATTTGAATGAATTTGTTTCTCAGTTTTTTGAGAACTGATTTATCTGTCCCTTCTTTATGCTATACATTTAGATTTCAGTTATTTTTATATTGCTTGCTCTTCACCTAACTCTCCTTGGAATGATAATCTTTCCCCCACTGTGGAGGGTATTTTTAATGACTTAAAAGCTAACAACACTAGGGAGACGGTTCAATGGGTAAGAACACTTTTGCTGTGCAAGCATGAGGTCCTAAGTTGAAATCCCCATAACCCAAGTAAAAAGTCAGGTGTAGGAGCACAAATGCCTGCAACCCTAGCACTGGGGAGGGGTGGGGCACAGTCTCTGGTGGGGGTTGGGGAGGAGGAAAAGAGTTAGGGGATCATGGCGAATCACTGGGGCCTGCTAGTTGTCAGCCTAGTTCCAAGTGCAGTGAGAGTCCTTATCTCAAGGGAATAAGGCAGAGGAATGGTAGAACAGGACACTGCATGTTCTTCTCTGGCCTTGCCACAGGCATGGGTGTGAGCATCCGTACACATGCTCGTGCGCACACACACATACAAATTTAAAAAATAAAAATAATTTAAAAAATTAAAAATCTTACCAAATTTTCACTCTCCTCAACCCCAAACCACAAAACAGCCTCCATGAGAGTAGACAGAAAGCCCCACATTCAGATATTTAATTAATTTTTTTTTGATACAAGGTCTCCCTGTACCCAACCTAGAACTCACTAGTAGACCAGGCTAGCCTAGATTTAACAGAGATCCCTCTGCCTCTGCCTCTGCCTCCACCTCCTGAGTGCTAGGATTAAAGGCATGCACAACCATGCCTAGCACAGTCAGATATTTAATTTTTTTTGCTTTATTTTTTTCATGTGTATGCTTATATTGTGCACATGTATATGCAAGTGCACCTGTGTCATGCAGTGCCTGTGGAGGACAGAAGAGGACACCAGATCCCCTGGAATGGGAGTTATGGACAGTTGTTAGCCCGTGAGGGTGCTGGGATTCGAACCTGGGTCTTCTGTAAGAACAGCCAGTGCTCTTAATCACTGAACTGTCTCTCCAGCCCCACAGTTAGATATTTTAAAAGAACCTGTATTTTATCTTTTGTGGTTTGAGAAGGCAGCTCAAATACTTGGCTCTTGCTTCAAAGTGCGAGCTAGGGACACTTTCCCAGGGCCCAGCAGTTTTGTACACTTTCCTCCCTGGGCCATCACACCCAGGCACAGCTCCTCTCTGTGTGCTGATCCCCTTCCCTCCTTGGGCCATCACACCCCCAGGCACTGCTCCTCTCTGTGTGCTGATCCCCTTCCCTCCCTGGGCCCTCACACCCCCAGGCACTGCTCCTCTCTGTGTGCTGATCCCCTTCCCTCCTTGGGCCCTCACACCCCTAGGCACTGCTCCTCTCTGTGTGCTGATCCCTTTCCCTCCCTCAGCACCCTTTTTTTTTCACTTTGTATTCTGCCATAATCTGCCAGTAAAGGAGAAGCAGTAACATTTTCCTGATTCATTCTTTATGGCTCATTTGCCAACATCCCATTTATAGAACGTGATTGAAAATACCTTGCTAAGCAAGCTCTAAATATTTCTTGCAAACCCCAACCCAGATTGGAGCTGTAAATATTTCAGACATGAATATGAGAAGAGAAAAAGCAGCTCCACTTTCTGAAAGTATCTGCAGATTGCAGGTTGATTGGGTATATGTCTGCAAGTGTCTGTGTGTGTGCAAATGTCTTTGTGAGCATCTGTGTATGCAAGCATCTGTGTGTATGTGTGAGCATCTGCGTGCAAGCATCTATATTGCAAGGTCGTCTAGCATCTGTGTTGTTACTAAAATCTATAGGAGAGTGGCACCCCAGAATGTCCTCAACAATCCAGCATCTATCCTCAGCTTCCCAAAAACACTTAAACACCTAAACATACCTAGGATGAGCCCAGGTATTGAGCAAAAATGAAACTGGAAATAAATATTGAAACTTAGAAGGACATGTGTACAGTCTGCCAAATATACCTTACTCAGCATCTTAAAAAAGGAAAAAAGATACTTATCCACACCCAAGAAGTAGAGGCACAAAGGCAGAAATATGAAGGAGAAGAAAAGAAAAAGAACTGAAGGAGGGACAGCCTACAAGACCAGAGTAGGAACAGTGCGGATGACAGGTCCGCTAGCAATGAGAAGGGAGAATTGTCTAGAACCTCCTGGTACCCCACGCAAGTGAGTCTAGAGCAGGGGCTACTGACCATCTTGATGCTCAGTTCACTGGTCCCTCCCTTTCTTGGATCCCTCTGAAACCTTCAGATAGGGACATTTACCAACAAAATGCTCATATTTATATGCACAAAAACTTTACATTTTAAGAGGGCATGTAATTTGCATACCTCAGGTAGTTTAGTGTTCATAACATTGTATTTTCCTTGCCGTCAGAAAGGGTGTCCTTTTATTGCATGAAGTCTATTTCATAAGTCTGGGTAGTATGAGATGCTTCTCTTTGAAAAAAGTATCAGAACACTTTAGAAGGTAAGTTTAATTACTTGGAAATTTTATTATTTTATGTATATGAGTATATTGACCTGCATGTATATAAGGGCATCCGTGTCGTGCAGTGCCCACAGAGGTCAGAACAAGGCGTTAGGTCCCTTGGAACTGGAGTTACAGACGGTTGATAGCCATCATATGGGTGCTGGGAATCAAACCCAGGTCCTCTGGAAGAGCAGCCAGTTGCTCTTAACTGCTGAGCCACCTCTCTAGTCCCTGGAGAACTTTTTAAAGTCTAATATCTCATCTCTTGAACTAGTCTTAAGATACTGTTACTTGGCTAAGAAATTAAATCATTGTTGCTTTTTCACCCAGTAGTATCTACTCACTACCCAGAAACAGCCAGGCAACCTCTGAACAGAGCGGCTATTGCTGGCAGTGTGTATCTTACATCCTTATTAGATCTCTATTACAGACTCCTACTGAGATTACTGTTTTGAAAAAACAAGGCTTTGGTCACATATATAAATAAACATAAGTTGAAGCCTGAGCCAGCAATAACCTTGCTGTTTGTTAGGAGTATTGTGGGAGCATCACTTCACCCTTAGCGTGCTATGATGTCCTTCAGATCCTCCAGAAACCTCAGATATGACCTCTTGATGTGATGCTCAGAATCTACCCAGTTCACCTCCCTCCATCAAAAGAACTGCACACAGAGGCCTGAGAGGGGTTTTCTCTGGGTTTCTGCACTCAGCAAAGACTCCTGCTGAGCCCACTGCTTCAGTCTCCTGTATCCCACGCCACAGCTTCTACAAGGGAACCAGATAACACTGCCTTGTACTGCCTTTATGAGTTGTCATGGTGGGCTCAAGCCAAAGCTTACCCAACTGCTTCTTGCCAAAAAACATAAGCTGAGTTGATCCCATCTTTTTTTTTTTAAGCACTGTAGATCAAACTTAAGTGCTCTACCACTGAATTACCTAACCCCTGCCCCTGACTTCAAATCAGTTTTTCTCTCAAAATTTTGGATGTTTCTGTTGGCCGTTCAAAGGGCAAATCCCAGCTCTGCGCAGATGTGGCCCTGGCTGTGGTCATGGTGCCTTCACGGTGCAGGCATGCAGTATAGTTCTATGAGAGGGCTGCACTTGTGTGCATATAGCATCCCTGTTTCCTCGTCACTTTCTATCTTGGCCTCAGCAATTGAAAGCCACTTGGCTAACAGACTTGCAGTAGATCCCCTGTCCCTTTGACAGATGCTGTCTACATCTCATCTCCTACCAGGAGAAGATATTTCCTTTCTGCAATGGCCTGGAGTGGGGAGTGTGGCGAGGAAGTTCTCCCTGACTCCCTGGCCCGCTGAACGTATTTACTCTTCAGGGCGTCTGAATCTGTCAGTAATCTTTACTATCCTACAGACTCCATTTCTTTCTCCTTTGTGGTCACCTAAGACCCTGTTCCCTGTCTTTGGAAGTGTTGAGAATTTATTCTTTTGGCTCATACTTCATCAGAGAGCCCCCAGGCAATATAGAAGGAGAGCAAAGGCCTCCCTTGGTGTGAATATTTCATAAGGAACAGGCAGCAGGGAGGTGGAGACAGACTTCTTAGGTTCACAAGATAGGATGCTTGGCTGGATTTAAAGTCTGCCATTTCTTCGGCTTTCAACAGGCCTGGTTTTGTATTTTTTGTTTTTATCCAAACTGATGTCAGAGTTTCTCAATGAAGACATGAAAAGACCAGAACCTGTTGTCAGGAGTTGAACAGAGGGCAGGTCTGGCTTTGTTCCCCATTGGGAGACTAATATTAGCTCCAGGTTGAATCAAATAATAATTTTACTTGAGGACCCGTGGAGATGTGAGTAGTAAGATGAAACAGTGTCTTCTCAAGCACCCATCTGCTGTCCCCAGGTGGGATGATTGCCACTAAGAACTCACCTTCTCAGGGTAAATGAGCAATCATTTGAAAAGGGAAAATGCTAATTCATCCCTTTCCCTCCAGGGTTATCCCATCGTAGGTGAGGTTGCTGTGGGCTGACAAGAATTCATTCCTAGGCTTGTGGGTTGTGGTTTGCTGTGTCCTTTTCTGCATTATTGTTTGAGAACCCTTCTCCCATAACCATACCCCAAACTTCTCAGCAGTTTACCTCTACCCTTTCTTTCCCGCTCATGGAAACATCTAGTTACATAGATGCATGTGAGCGAGGCTATCATGGAGATTGCTTTAAAGCAGCTAAATTTATATTTAATGTTAAGTCCTGTGTGAAGCTTAAGGTTTCATTAGTCGCCTAGGAGCTCACGTAGTGAGTACCCAACAGCACACTGTTACCATGTGCCATGGGTGAGGGACCACATCCACACGCCGTAG